ACAGACTCAACTTCACTTTAAATGTCCTGAAAGTTTTATTTTTCACAAAAAATCCGAGAAATAATGGCATGCTTTTGAAGCAACCCCTGACCAGCGCCCCAACGCCTTTAATGTTGTGCAGCCCTTTCTTCAAAAATTAATTTTGCAAAAACTACTCCAGGTGGAAAGTTGCTTGATACTTCATTCAATAGAACGAACTTCGCTTTATMTGTCSTGAAAGTAWAATTTTTGGCAAAAAATCTGAGGAATTTTGGCAGACGTGTAAATTTTGAAGCAACACTTGACATGCACCCTAACGYAATATTCTTGTGTTGATGTTTCTTYAAAAATTTATTTTGGGAAAACTATAACGAACAAKAAGTTGCTTATCAGTTCATTCGATAGAACAAACGTCGCTTTAAATGCCCTGAAAGTTTGAATTTTTGCAAAAAATYTGAGAAATAATGGCAGGCTTTTGAAACAACCTCTAACMAGCGCCCCGCCCCTACGCCTTTAATGTTGTGCAGCAGTTTCTCATGTCATGACATAACGTTGGTATCGTTGGATAGAGAATTAAAAATTTGATTCMGTCATTACAACATGTAATGGAAACATGGAAACTCGAGTAGTTTTGACCGAGAAAGTGGGATTCCCAAGAGTATGCCAACCAACATTTCATGTTTTTCGTCCCGTTTTTGCTCATTTCTCGGAAGCAAAATGAGAAAGAACGCTCATTTCCACATCATTCCAGAGAGAAATAAACTGCGCTTTTCGTAAGTGAACTATCGATGTTCTCAAAAAAGTGATGATTTCAAGAAGCTTTGCGTGGTTTTTTCAGTTGCACAATCGACTCAAACATGTCATCATGAGACAGCCCTGTTGGACCCATTGGGGGAAACTGGTCGTAAATAGGAGAAAAACGTGGATTAGTTGGGGAATTGAGAAAGTGTGTCAGCAAAGTCCCATCCAATAGCAAAAGTACCATGTTAGAAGACGAAAAGCGGGTTCTTACCTCACTAACCGATTTCTTGGTATAGTTATTGAGAGCCTGGATCCAAACCTGGAGCAGCTCATTAACGATAACGAAATCGTTGTACAACCACTGGAAAACATCGTTCACCCACAACACCACAATATTGTCCGGACCTGTTGCTTGGGGCGCAGGCACATAGCGGGGTTTTCGCGTCTCGGGCGCCGGGCTTTGCCGTGTTAAGCGTCTGCGCACAGGAGGAGTAGGCGGAACAAAAGCACCCGTAGCTTTCGGAGCGATGACCGGTTGTTTTTTTGCACCGTCCAGAACATCCGGACTGGACTCAGTCTTGCTCAGCGCACCCGCTGCTTTGCTCTTCGCCTTGCCGGCGAAGAAGCGCTCGTAGATGGCCTTGCCCAGCCATAGAATGAAGAGGGCGGCCAGAATCCAGCCGAAGAGGAACATGGCCAGCGTGTCCATGGTGGTGTCGACGGATCCGTCCAATGCGCAGATCAGGTCATCAACAGCTTCGGCTAAATCCATGATCCAGCCATGCTTCTCAAATGGCGATCTGCGAAAAGCAACGAACGGTCATACCGAGCGGGATCAGAGACACTAAAAATACTAGGCAATAATAAGCTGTTTCCCACCGCCCAGACCTTAAGGCGGTTATAAATAAATGCGGAACATTCGTGCTTGTTCTGGGACTGTTTCTCGTTTTCGAATGTTTTCCCACATTCTGATCGAACTTRGGATGCGAGAGCGCCGCAYTTTGTGACCTACATGTGGAACTCTGCTAAATTTAAGTTTCTATTGTCTGAGTGCGCAGACCAAGTCGGCTTGCCCAACTGCATGAGAGAATCTGATGTGCTTGATGTAACATGTGTTAAGTAATAACGTCCTCAAAATATTTACACCACAGAAAATTMGGGAAATTCGGTCAWTTTCTTCAATTTCCAGCTAATAATGTCCGGTTGCAACTGTAGAAGATTCACTTAGCATTAGRTTYTTCATTATTTCATTGCCACCAACTAACTGAAGTCCATGTTGGTGCCAGGGGCGGATCCAGCTTTAAAGTCAGGGGGGGTTATGTAGAAAAAATACAGTCTTCTGTTATC